TTTTCGGTGACTGGTTGACTGGTAATTCATCAGGTTGAGCTGATCGATTGATCGATTGATTGTACGTAGACCGTAGATCCCCTTTCCCGTCTTCTGTCTTCCCATGTTCTCTTCTCGGGAGCCGTCTCCGCGTGGGCGCGAATCAAAAAAAAAAAAAAAAAAAAAAAAACCGCGCTGGTTCGTTCCCATGTCTTTGGGACTGTAATTTGGTAAATCGGTCGAGGCGAGTCGAGTCGGTCAGGTTGATCTACGGAGTACTAATATTTTTTTTTTTCTTTCCCTGAAATGGAGGACCGGGAAAGGAAGGAAGGGAAAACCTAGGGAGATAGATGTGACGATTTGATGTGACGATTTGAGGAGATGTGTTGGTGTGATGTGATGTGATGTGATGTGGTGATGTGATGTATCGCTTGAGCAAGGCAGAGGGAAGGTAAAGCAAGGCACGGAAATACCGTTTTGGAATCTTCCCTTCCCGGTTTTTGTCTGTCTGTACTCTTTCTGGTTGGAAAAGGGGGGATGGGGAAAGGGGGTGGGGGATTGGATTGGATTGGATTGGATTGGATTGGGATAGGATTGGGATCGATTGGGATAGAATGATGGGAAAAGACAGGGAAATGGAAAGGGAAACGGAAAGGAAAAAGAAAATAAGGGTGAGAATGAGAATTACAATTAGGGGGAAGGGAAGGAAAGGAAAGGGAGAGGACGGCAGGTAGGTAGCTATCCGTCCGCGGTCCGGAATCCCGTGCGGGGGGAGAGGGCTGGTTTTGTTTTCTTTTTCGATGTTTGGAGATGGATGGATGGGATAGAGAGAGGTTGATATTGGTAATGATATTGATATTGGGATTTGTAACCTGAGATTGAGAGAGAGAGAGGTTGGATGGATGGATGGATAGTTGGATGAATGGGGTACCTGGAAGAAGGATAGGGGAAGTGATTAGTACGGGGAAGTGATTATTACAGGGAATTGTGGACTTTTAGTTGTGCGATGCGAGGTTCGAGCCTTGCAGCGATGCTGCGTATGTACCTGGGGCGATACGATGGAGAGAGAGAGAGCATGACAGAATGTCGCGACGCGTGTGGAGAATATGGGGAAGTGGAGGGCGCGCCCGGAGAGTTACAGTTACAGTTACACCGTGTGGCTTGTTGTCTGTCTGACAGCGCAGCCCACCCGGCGATCCCGATTCCCTGGATTTTGGCGTTTGGCTTGTGGCTTGTGTTGTAGGTGGATAGATGGATGGGTTGGATCGTGGGGGGTTTCGGGCAAGGACAGGAGAGACATCTAGGATGTACAGAAGAAAGCGAGGGAGAATTTGTGTGTGTATATACCAATTTTTGCTTGGTTGGTACTTTATAAGAAGGAAGCATTGATGTGAATTCATGTGTCCGTTTGAATGAACGAGTAATTTAGGAATAAATAGTATTGGAGTCGATGAAGCTCGAAGCTCGGCTAGAAAGCAAACTGCAAACAAACAAGTAAGTGAGTAAGCGAGCAGGCAAGCAAAGCAGAGCTAGGTGAGCTATCATCTCTTTAGGAGAGAAGAAAAGAAGAGAAGAGAGACGGGATGGGATGGGATTTGAGAAGAAACACACGAAAACCAAAGAGGAATGGAATATAGACAACAGATAGCAAACGTGATTTACAAACAAAGTAGGTAGGCAGATGTCCTGAGCCGTAAGCTAGCTAGCGAACTATGTATATATATATCATACCCGGGAGTTAGAAAGGAACGAATAGAAACAGAATGACAGACTGATTTCAATAATTTACCCTGAAGACATATTTCATTTTCTTCCGTTTTCCAAACATACAAAAAAACAATCAAAATCTGCTCTCATGGTCCTCGGCAAACAAAGCCGATACGATATCTTCAAGCCTGTATTGTACCGACAGTACTTATTTGCTTACTATGTACATTGGCTAGCCTGCCCCCTTTCTTCGCCGCCCCTCATCCCGTTCCCTTCCATCCTCCCTTTCCGAATAAACAAGCTATTTCCCGATCCCGAAGGTAGACAAGAAACCCACCAACCTACCCACTCACCTCCGCACCCACTTTCCCGTTTCTAAATACATATATAAATAGATATACATGAGTAAACAAACCGATCAACATTTACCTCCAGCATGTGCCTCCCGGATTTGACCACCTATTCAATTTCAAACAAGATGCAAAACATGACAAATCTCCCACCGTCCATTCGTTCCATCTATTTATCCACCACCCTGTCTGTCTTTTTCTCCTGTACGTACGTAGTAGCTAGCCGGCTTCCCCGGCCCCTGGCTTTTACTAGCGCACCCGCCGGGAGCCAGAGCCACCCGCCCGCTCGGGACCCCCGCTCCCGCAGCGTGAGAAACAAAGCCAAACAAATTACTACCACTTCGCCCCTCCTCCGAGTCTTGCAGTTGGTAATCTGCAGTCCGATCAGATCCAATATAATTAAGTATTATGTTAAATGAAACAAGCACAACTCCGTGTTCTACGACCGTACCAGTACTCCCCGTCCCCCCCCNCCCCCCCCGCGTACGTACGTACGGTCGGGTCGGT